GTGGTGGGGTCTCAGGAACCGGGCACAGGAGCTCCTTGCCTCCCTCCTGCCCTTGGGGCTCAAAGCACAGCCTGGCTTTGCAGACAGATGCCTTTCCCCCAATGCCGGCAGCTCTGGCATCTCTCAGCCCTGCCCTCCGAGGCCTGTGCTGTTGGTCCTGGCTGCCAGCAGACACCCGTGGGCAGGCTTCAACCCGGGCCACGGCCGGCCGCGGCCCCAAGCAGCACGTTCACTGCCTGCGGCACCGGCACCAGCACCGGGGCGGCCATCCATCCCTCCCCCTCCGCCTGCCACCACGCGGAGGAACCGATCAAAACGTCTCCCCGCGGTGATGAATCCAGCTGAATCCGGGCGCAGGCTGCGATGCAGTCAGTCACCAAGGGAGATTGCACCACGTGCATCCCCGCAGCCGCCGAGAATGGGGACCGGGGCTTCCCTGCTAGGTCCCTCGCAGCCCCTCGGGCTTGGTCTCATTCCACAGGGGCTCGTGTAGCGCTTGGGTGGGATGGAAAGCACCCCTTGGACATGGCCCTGTGCACATCTACTTGCAAAGAGGTGTCCGGCTGCCCTGAGGAGTGCCCTCGGGGCATGACAGTGCTTCCCAGCAGGGAGGGAGGCATGGCACCCTCGGGTGCAGCCAAGGAGAAGGGACTTGTGGCCATCAGAGCCCAGAGCAGAGTGATGCTTGTGGATGTCCCTGAGCTGGCTTGGGAGGCCATGGCCCCAGGGCGATGCCCTGGGGTTGGCAGCCTGCCGGGGGAGCAGTCCAGTCCTGCCTCAGCCTGGCACTGACCTCCCACCACTGATCATTAACCACCCTTATCTGTTGGTGGGTTCAAGGACACACACAAGGACTGTTGTCCCCATCTTGAGCAGAGCTGGGGCTGTGCTGGAAGCAGTAGGGCTTGGACCTGCTGACAGCTTCTGCAATGGCCCTGCTTCTCAACAGAGCCGTGTGCTTGGCAGTTGTCCCTGTCCCTCCTGTCCACTCTTGTCCTTGCTTCCCCAAGAGACCAACCTGACCGTCCATACCTCTCTGGGGTGGATGAGAGATGCGCCAGCCTGTGCCAGGTGTCAGTACCCACTGTGGTTAGTACTCTCAGAGGATGTGTGCCTGGAAACACCAGCCCAAGCCATCCGCAGAGTGCTTCAAGGATAGTGCCAGCCTAGGGGGGTCAGAGGCAGGTGCTTGAGCCCAGTTGGTGCTGAGGGGTTCCTGGGATGGGTGCAGAGTGTGCTGCACATATATGCAAGGCAGCATCGAAGCAGGGAGGGACTGATCAAGCCCCAATGCTGGCCCTATCCCATTTATCCTGCCATGCTCCGGTGCATCGCAGCTGATGTCCCGGCGCATCTATGGCCCTATCTGGAAGTCAACCTTTGGGCATTATGAGAACATCAACATCGGGAGCCCTGTGGTGCTGGAGCAGCTGCTACGGCAGGAGGGCAAGTACCCCATGAGGAGCGACATGGCCCTGTGGAAGGAGCATCGGGACACCCGGCACCTGCCCTATGGACCCTTCACCGAGTGAGTCCTGCCTTAGCTGCGCTCTGCAGAGCAGCAGGCGATCCTGTCCCTTCCTTAGGTGTAGGGACTGGGTGGCAGCTCACATTGCTCCCTCTCCTGCAATCCCCCCAATAGAAGGGCATGTCCGTGGGGGGTGGAAAGACCTCCGGGGTGGTTCCAGCTTGGCATGGGGGGAATGCACCCAGGGACTGGGAAACCGCTACCAGCCGCTGCCCCTGCCGTGCCCCGGCGCTGAGCCCCGTCCCTGTGCAGGGAAGGGGAGCGCTGGTACCGCCTGCGCCAGGTTCTCAACAAGCGGCTGCTGAAGCCCTCGGAGGCGGTGCTGTACGCGGACGCCATCGGGGAGGTGGTGTCAGACCTGATGATGCGGCTGCGGGACGAGCGGAGCCGCAGCCCCTCGGGGGTGTTGGTGGAGGACGTGGCCAACCTGCTCTACCGCTTCGCACTGGAAGGTAGGAGGGTCCTCAGCCCTGCCCCTCTCTTCCCATCCCCGCGGGGTTCTGGATTCATCCTGTCCCCCCACAGGGATCTCCTATATCCTCTTTGAGACCCGCATTGGGTGCCTGAAGCACCAGGTCCCCGCCGAGACCCAGCGCTTCATTGATTCCATCAACCTCATGTTCAAGAACTCCATCTTTGCCACCGTCCTGCCCCGCTGGAGCCGCAAGGTGCTGCCCTTCTGGGACCGCTACCTGGACAGCTGGGACACCATCTTTGCCTTCGGTGAGCAGTGATGATGAGGGCCCAGGACGATGGGATCAGTCTCCCTAAGGATGCTCAAAATGGGGCACATGTCCTTTTGGCCACCTCACTCTGTCAGCGCTGGGTCCCACTCTCTGTCCTCACAGGCAAGACCCTGATTGACCGAAAGATGAAGCAGCTGGAGGGGCAGGTGGAGCGGGGCAAGGAGGTGTCTGGCTACCTGAGCTACCTGCTGGCCAGTGGCAGGCTCAGCCTGGATGAGGTCTATGGCAGTGTGGCCGAGCTGCTGCTGGCAGGCGTGGACACGGTGAGAGCCAGGCAGCCGCTGCCAGGGGAGAGGCAAGGGGCCATGCTCAGCCATGAATCCTAGACCTGTGAGCTCTGGGCTGGTGGCTGGGGGGCTGGTGGCTGACAGGACAAACCCTGTCCTCCCCTCTGCTCCCTGCCCTGCTTCCTACCTCAGTTTCCCCCATGCTTGCTGCCCCCTCACCGTTGGCTTCCCTGAGCACTGGAGCACAGGCTGGCTGGTGCTGTATTGGTGCCATGCTTGGCACCGGGCTCTATGGGTATTAGCCCAATCTCCCTCACTCCCTGTGGCACTCTGCTCCCCCAGACCTCCAATACGTTGTCTTGGGCCCTGTACCACCTCTCCCGGGACCTAAGCATCCAGGAGACCCTGTACCAGGAGCTGAAAGCCGTTGTGCCTCCCGACCGGTTTCCTGGTGCTGAGGATATCTCCAAGATGCCAATGCTTCGGGCCATTATCAAGGAGACACTGAGGTACAGCCCAGCCCTGCCGCTGCCCTAAGGTCCTGGTCACCAGCCCCTTCTCCCCTGCATGAGGGGATGCACCAACCAGGCAGGGTGCAGGGCTGGGTTTCAGGAGTGGGATTGATCAGCTGAGCAGCAGGAGATGCTCCCCCAGGTCCTGTCCTGCCTGTGGTTCTCTCCTCTGGGATCCCCAGATGGGTCTTTCTCCCCTGCTAACTCTCCCCATATCCCAGGGTCTACCCTGTGGTGCCAACCAATGCCAGGGTCTTCTATGAGAAGGACATTGTCATCGGAGACTACCTCTTCCCCAAGAACGTGAGTGGGGGCCATGCCACAGGGACCCCTGCTGTGTCCAGTGGGGCTGGGCAGAGGTCATTAACCCCCCCTTCCTGCCCCACAGACCCTCTTCGTCCTGGCGCACTACGCCATGTCCCACGATGAGACCTACTTCCCTGAGCCCGAGCGGTTCCTGCCCCAGCGCTGGCTCCGGGGCCATGGCTCCCCCCACCACCCTTTCAGCTCCATCCCCTTTGGCTACGGGGTCCGTGCCTGTGTCGGTCGCCGCATCGCTGAGCTGGAGATGCACTTGGCCCTCGCCAGGGTGAGCAGGAACCCCCACCCCGGGTAATGAGCTGGGATAGGGGCCCCAGGGAGCCCCCAAGGCACTGCCACCCCCCTTCTCCTCACAGATCGTCCAGGCCTATGAGGTGCGGCCAGACCCCAGCGGTGTGGAGGTGACATCCGTGTCCCGCATTGTCCTGGTGGCCGACAAGCCCATCAACCTGGAGTTCATCGCTCGCCCGGGGGCCCCTGAATGTATGCCCACCCCTCAGCCTGGGTGCTGAGGGGGGACCCCACTGCCCCACCAGCAGGGGCAGGAAGGCAAACGCACCTCAGCATGGGCCAGTGGGCTCACAGCCCTGCTGTGGGAAGATGGGAGGGATGAGGGATGCGCACACATCGCCCCTGGGGCACTGGTATCCCCTACCCCAAATCAGCAGGAGGCTTGGGGAACTGCTGTGCCTTTCACACGCTGCGAGGGCTTGTGTCCCCCAATCCTGTGCCCAGCTGGGCTGCACTGGGGGCCTGGGAACTCTGCCGGGGCTGGGGGGAGGCAGGGAGGGGGCTTGCAGCCGTTCAGTGTCTCCTTCGTCCCGTCCTTGTGTAGCTGCGCGTGGATCTGTGCCTGGAGCCAGGACATCTGGGTCCTCTCTGAACAGCTGACTTTGGTCTCAGCCAACTCTCCGTGCCTCAGTTTCCCTCCCTGCCTCCCAGGGGAGCCTCGAGTGCTTGTGGTGGGGTTTGGGGTTTGTGCCTGATCCCGATGGATGGAGCCAGCCCTGGCTCTGGGCAAGTGGAACACTAAGACAGCACATCCCTGTGATGGAGAGGAGGCCTGTCACCACCCAGTGCTGGTATCATGTACCCTGGCAGGGCTAGCCCGCACAGGAGGGGTGTGAAGCACCCAGCACCTTTTGCTATCAGCTATTATTTCGCTGAAATGCTGATAAGGGGTCACAGGAACAGGGACAGGGCTTGCTATGGGCAAAGCAAGGGAGGGAGGATCGCCTCAGCTGCCTCCCTGTCCCCATTTGGGAACATGGGGATGACATCCAAGGCCATCGCAGGGGCTCAGAGCCGGATGCACCGCCGCTTGTCCAGGCTCCTGGAGGGATGGCATATGGGACATCCTAGCAGGGCACCCCCGTCACCTTCCTGCTGCTTGGGGATCCTAACTGGGCTGGGGGAAGCAGCAGGCAGAAGCTTTGCAGGCACCAAGGCTGCCGTCACCACTGGGACATACACACCATGGCCATGGTGAAGTTATCAAGGCTGTGTGCCCATCCCCTGCCCCTACCCACATGGGCAGTGGTGCTACCCTGTGCCCATGACACCCTTGCTGACATCCCAGATCGGGTCCCCCAGCCCAGCTCCCATCCCCAGCCTGGCTCTGTCCGCAGGAGCTGCCCTGGTCAGAAAGGTGAGGCAGTGGTTCCTGGAGCAGGCTGCTTTGTTACAACAAGGCTGAACAGACCAGAAAGTAACCAAATACCCCCCGGCACACCCCAAACCGTTCACAGGGTCCCCATGCAAGTGCCTGTCCTGGCGCCAGCTCCAGGCACCTCCAGCCCCGCGTGACCCTGCTGTAAGAAGCCTGTGTGTGCAGCTGAGCCCACGCTGCCAGGCACCGGGCGCAGCCGGCAGGACTGCGCTTGCTGGGGATGGAGCCATGGCCAAAGCGCTCCAATCCAGCAGCAGGACAGGAGCAGAGTGGCCAAGTCCCAAGGGGCTGTGTGGGTCCCCGTGCCCAGCTGTGGGCATGTGCAGCTCCTCGGGCACAGTGCCCATCGAGCATCACTGTGTGCTTGCTGGCGGGAGGCATCTCTGGGTCCCTTTTCCCTGCTCGCTGCCTCCCCGAGGCCAGCAGGATGTGACCCCAGACTCAAGACGAGCCCCAGGACTGCGATGGGCAGGCAGGTCCTCCCCGCAGAGAGCCTCCGGAGCCCGGGACTCCTTCCACGGACCCAGAGCCATGAAAGTGGGCCCCACATCAGCCTAGACGGTGGCACTTCCCTGGTGTCTTGAGAGTGAGGATCGGTCGGTGCCTGCAGGGTGAGAGTGTGCGAGGACGTAACACCTGCAGGCACTGGCGCCATGGCTCCCAAACTGTCTGGTGCACAGTGAGGTGTTGCCTCCATCCCTGGCTTGGATGCAAGCCCTGGGGTACAACAGGAGGGGGACTGGCCCAGAAGGGGACATCCCTGTGGCCACTTGCAGCTGCTGACACAGCCACCCCTGTGGACACCAGATGTGGGGTGAGCAAAGGCATCATGATGAGGAGGGTACCGTGTCTGGCGTGGTTAACACACGAGTCCCAGATGCCATCTATGTGGAGTGTCTGGGCACTGCTGGGGCAACTGGTGGGCATGGGGCTGTTCCAAGCCTGTTCCCTACTATCCCCCCCAAAAAAGCTTCAGTAGCTTTGGGAAATAGCTGGGCACTGGGGCCAGGTTCCCCCTCCTCAGCTCACCCCTAAGGAGGGCTCTGCTAGCCATGCCCTGCGGGCCAGCCACACTGTGTACGTGGCTAGTGCTGGGCAGCATGTCCGGGGTATGTGAGTGGAGATCTGTCCCCACTGTGTACCCTGGGAATGGCACTGGAGGTGCTCAGGTCTCATGGGGGACTTCGAAGGGAGGTCAAAAAAGAGCTTTTCTCTTAGGGTGCATCACACTCCAAAACCCTCACCCAGCTCAAAGCCCAGGGACCTGAAAAATCTGCCTCCAACACCACCTGGATGAGGGTGTAGGGGTGTATCTGTGGCAGATGCCCCCCATCCTGCCTCACAAACACCAGGGCTCAGAAGCCCATAAAGAACCCCTGGCATCTTTGTGTCCCCTGGGACAAGCAGCATCCGAGTCCTGCTGTCCCCATCTGGGCACACAGTGCTGCAGGGCCCCAGCCCCAGCTTTCTCCATCCCCAGGCCAGTTTGGCTGGGGAGGATGGAGGTGGCTGCAGCAGGGAGGTGACAAGGTGCAAGTGAACAAGGTGCGAGTGACCCAGTGGTGGGGAGGGGACAGGGACGCAGTGGCAGGGGACAGCGCCTACCTGAACTGGAGAGAAATGGAAGGTGCAAGTGGAGAAAGTCGAGCGTCGTGGGCTAAGAGTTAAGAGCATCGATACCTGCCGGAGTGAGCACAAGGGCCTGGAGGATGTCGGAGAGGGAAACAATGCCCCGCGGGTACTGGTTCTCATCCACCAGAACCAGGCGATGGACCTGTGGGTGCAGGCAGAGCATCACAGGCAGGTCAGGCAGCAGGCGGAGGGGGCTGGCGCTGGCGCTCACCCTGGCCACTCACCTGCTCCTTGGTGATGCGGTCAATGATGTCCTCCATGGTTTCATGGGGGTAGCAGGTTAGGACACCCTCCAGGCAGACAGTGCGCTGCTGCAGCGCCTCCCGCACGCTGATGTCCAGGTTGTTGTAGGTCTTCTGGGCAGCCAGGTGCTGCGTGAGAGGTGACCCCGCTCAGTGCCCCTGTGTGTCTTTGCACCCTGTTGTGCTGGCACAGCGAGAGACGCTGAGCCCTGGGGACGCACAGGGCAGATCTGCACTGGCAAGTGGGTGTCACTGCACATGGTGTGGGTTTGCATGGGCACAGGCAGACGTGAGCACCCCAACAGCGGCATGCAAGAAGCCACACTTGCGCCTGGGTGTGTAACACACCGGTACTCACAATGACGTCAAACCGGGAGTAGAGGCCGACCACTCGCCCTGCAACAAGAGACAGTGCAGGGATTGAGGAGAGGGCCCCGGGCCCTACCTGCTGAGCTCCCCCTGCACCCCAAGGGGCAGCGCAAGGGCTAGGAAGGGGGTTTTGTGTGGGGACAGGCCCAGAGCCACGGGCAGAGGGAGATGGGGTTTCACCAGTGCCCTCTCCAGGTACCAGCATCATTGATGACGGGCAGGGCTGAGACGCGGCGGTCCACAAAGATCTCCAGAGCAGAGTAGATGGGGGCAGTCTCATGCACAACAGCCACATCGCGGAAGGTACCAACACACAGCTCCTGCACTGTTCTCTTCAGGAAGTGTGGCTTGGGGATGGTGGAGCCCTGCAGCGGGGCAGGGCAGGGCAGCACTGGCACCTACACACTCCCCAACACCCTTCCTTGTGCCCCTACCCATTCACCCCATGCATGCACATGCAGCTCCAGCACTCACGAAGATGTGGAGGAACTTGAGGATGCGCTTGTGTGTGAGGATGTGCAGGACGTTGCCTGAGACGGGCTCAATGACGGGCAGGCGGTGGATCTTGTGCTTGATCAGAGAATAGACAGCGTCGAAGAGGCTGCAGGTGATGGGGACAGCATGGGGGGATAGGGCTGCATCCCAGGCCCACCCCCCACAGAGTGTGCTCTCCCACGGTGGGCAGGCTCTCACCTACTGCTTGGGGAGATGTAGACCAGTGGCTTGAGGGAGCCCTGCAGGTATACGTCTACCAAAGGGAGAGAGGTGAAAGAGGGGGTCCCCCATCCCCCTTATGCAACCATGGAACCCACCTCCATGTGCTACACAACATCCCCAGCTCAGCCACCCCCATCACTCCCTGCTTTTTACCTCTCCAGGTCTTAATCTTGTGCTCCTCCACCTCGTAGATCTGAACCTGAGGGCAAGAAGATGCCCTGGTCATGGTGGCCCCATGGACACTCTGCCCCCTTCCCCTGGCATCACACCCCATCACCCCAGGTACAGGGATCATATCTCTGGTGCCAGGCGGAGGGGCAGCAAGCAGCAGACATTGGGCTGGCCCAGAGCAACCCCTGGTCATGGTGTAGCGATGAAGTGCAGATCAGGAAAGGGAAGAGGGGACCGGGGAGGTGGGGACAACCCCTCCCTGCATTTTGCCTGCCCCGACCCCCGTGCTCTCCCTGCTGAACTCACCAGGGGCGAGCGGTAGTAGCGGTGGAGGATGTTGATGAAATCGGTGATGGTGAGCATCCCTGCAGAGACACGTGGGGCTGGCAGCGCTGCCAGGCAGAGGAAGGGGCCAGGCGGCGCTGCTGGCACTCACCCACAAAGCTCTGTGTCTTGCTGTCCCAGAGCGGGGCCGCTCGCACCCCGTTGGCCACCAGTGCCACAAAGGCTTTCTTGATCTAATGGGGGAGTGGGGAGGGTGTCAGGCCCCCCCTGAGCCCGCTCCTCCCCTGCCAGTCCCTGCTGATCCCCCGCTTTGTCACCTCCAGGGAGGTGTCAAAGACAACGAGTTTGCAGCTGGTGGGGATGGCATCGTAGCAGCAATGGCTCCTCATGAAGTGCATGTAGACCTCAGCATCAGGGCTCTGGAATTCGCTCTCTGGGCCCAGTCCCACCATCATGTTGCCCAGTGAGAAGGTGACAGGCCTTGGGTTCCTTTGTCTGTCCTCTTCTTCCTCCTCCTCCCTGGGGCACAAAGCTTCTGGGAATCCTGTAGGCAAACCCACCCCAAAGCTGGCCAGTGAGACCGTGTGTGAGCACCCTCCTGCCCGGGGGAAGCAGGGGAATGCTGCAGACCCCGTTCCCCACAGGGGCAGCACACAGCACCGCAACTGTACAGTCTTGGGGGGGGCACTGGGAGCTGCTGGGGAGGAGCGGAGGGGTAGGGTGACGAGGGGTACGGGCAGGGCGGGCAGAGGACCGATGCGCTCATTGCATGAGCGAGCCAGACACCCCCCACCCCCCTCCTACACTCCTAGGAGCTGCTTGCTACCCACCTTCCTCCTCAGGGCTGGCAGCCGCATCCAGCAACGCCATCTGAGGGGGCACATAGCAAGGGTGTCATCAGGAGCCAGCCCCCCCCAGATGCTGCCTGCACCCACTCTGCTGCCCTGACCCCCCAAGCCAGACAGAGGGGACCCTCCTTTTAGGGTGCACATGCAGGCTGGGCTTAGGGTCTACATCCCACTTCAAAACCCCCAGTCCTTGCAGCCCCTGTGGTGGCTGCAGCCCAGAATGTTCAGCTTGTCTCCCCAGTGTTGAGGAGATCGGCAGGGTCCCCGGCTCAGGACGGAGGCTGGTAAAAGAGCCCAGCTTCTCTCTCTGCCGTCGGAGCCGAGCACGTCCAGCAGCTGCTCTGTGCCCATCCTCTCTCCCTCTTCCAAACCCAAGGTGTAAATCCCAACCACGCTTCTTCCCGTGACGGGAGCCCCGCCAGCCCCACCTGCCCCTGGGAGCCAGGTGGGCCCCGGGAGACCCTACAACAACGAGGGGGGCGGGAGGCGAGGCGGGCTGACCCGTGCCCCGCGGTCCCCAGGACACCCTCCCATAACGCAGCGGCACGCTCGGCGGGAAGAGCCGACCTGTACGAGCCCCCCTGCAATAACAAAGGCGCCGGGACTGCTCTCTGAGGAGCCCGGAGCCAGCCCCGGGAGAGAAGCGACCCTTCCCGAGGGGCTGGGGACAGCGGGGGCAGGCAGGCGGGCCTCTCCTTGTCCTTGTCCCCACGGCGGCCTGGACGTGGGACGGGGACCGCCGGCCCCCTACATCCCCCCACCCCGGGGGTGGCCTGCCCCCAAGTGGGGGGCTCTCGGGCCGGGCTCCCCACCCGCCCCGGCGGTACCTGGGGCGCGGCGGGACCGGGGAGTCGCTCCATGCTGACTGCAGGGCAGCGCTGCTATTCTGGGCCCGCGGCTGGCGGGGCCCTGGCAGATAGGGTGACAGCTAGCAATGCCAGCCATGCCCCCCCACCGCCGCGGGGGGGACGACACACGGACGCTGCCACCGCCGGGCAGCGCTGCGCCGACTCGCGACCCGGCAGCAGCGGGCTGGAGGGATGGCTGTGGCCTGCGGACGGCAGGGAGTGGGTGATGCGGGTATGCTGAGGGTAAAATGCTGCCCTCCCGCTCCTAGGACCCCCATCCCCCCGACGCGGAGCTCAGCTTGCCCTGTCCACCCTGCCCGGCGCCCCCCGACCCCATCCGGCAGCAGGAGCGGGTGGTGGGCACAGCATCCTCCGCGGATGTTGGAGGGCAGCATCCAGCCGCGGCACGGATCTGCTGGGGTCTCTGAGAGCTGCTGGGGATGCTTTGCCCCCGACGCTGCCCCAGCCCTGCCTCCCCGGTTCCACCGTCCCCGGTCACCCCGGGTCTCCCTGCCGGGGAACCTCCATCCTCACCCGCGGGGCCACCCTCATCTGCCCGCCCTCGGCTCGCTCCCGGCTCCATTGCTATTTCAGGAAGGTTCAAATAACCCTTGGCCAGCTGCCGAGCCAGCCCTGGAGCAGCCGTGGGTGAGCGGGCCGGTGGCTGAGGGGCCAAAGTGGCCCCGGCTGACTCCCAGGGGGGAGAGACGGACCCTGGCCCGCGGCCGGGTGGAACGACCAAAGCCGCTGGTGCAACCCCAGGAGGAAGAGGAACGGGGAGGTGGAGGGCTTGGTGCTGTGGACAGGCCAGCAGGGCTGGGGTTACAGGAGGACACAGTGCTTGCCCTGGCCCCAGTGGCCCTCGTCCCGCAGCGGTGCGGGGAGGGGGGCTGGATGGGGCAGCCTCTTACAGCTGCGCCGAGGCTGGCTCCTGCCTGGGCACCGCCGGGTGCTGGCAGCGGGGAAGGGAGCAGGCATCTCCACTTTCGGAGGCTATTTTCAGGTGCTGGAGAGAAGCCGAGGAGCGAAGAGACTGTCACCAAGGAGACGGGAGAAACAGAGCCCGGCTCCGGCAGCAGGGGGCTGCGGGGAGAGGGGAGGGAAGGGCTTCCTGCAGGCCCCAGGGGCTGCACAGAGAGCTCAGCAGCGACCCCAGCCCCGAGTAATCCCCCCGAAGTGCCCAGCATCCTCCTGGCAGGCGGTGAGACAACACCTGAAAACAGCAATGGACAGCGTGGGGAACCCAACCCTTCCTTCCCCTGCTGCAAGGCTGGGCTGCTCTGCTCCCACTGGTCAGTGATCTGCAGAGAAAGGCCCAGGACGTAAGACAGACCCCAGCTATGTTGGGAGCTGCTCCCCCATGCAGGGAGCACACTTACCTGCCATACGGCAGCAAGAACGACCCCGAGCTCAGGGAGGGATACAGAACGGTGGGGTGGTGGCACAAACCCTGCCTGTACCAGAGCCTGCTGCAGAGTGGGGAGAGCCAAGCTGCTCTACAGATCCAAAAGTGTCAGGGAGGCCCGGATGGGGGCAGATGGAGGCCAGGCGAGCAGCTGAGTGCTAAACTTTAATAAAAACCCTTAAGAAACAAAAGGGAAAATAGCAGAGCCCAGAAGAGCACCAGCCTGCAGTCCCCATACAGATGCTGCAGGCCACCTGGGAGAGCTAGCAGCCCTACTGTCCCCACAACAAACTCCACAGCTGGTACCCATGGTGTCTGATGCACATGACCCAAGCTTCACGCAGGCCCCAGGGTTTGGCAGGGAGCAGCAGGGAGGATGCTGGCGCAGGTGTTGAGAAAGGATGAAATGGGTCGGTTTGAAGACCCTGCTCCTTCCAGAGGAGCAGAGTAAGGAGTGGCTGGGGACTTCTCCAGGGGACGAGCTGCAGTGGGGCAGGTGCAGACTCAGCTCCTCACAGCTCATGGAGACACAGGCAAACCAGGGCTCAGCCCGTGCTGGTCAGGAATAGGAAGGCCAGGCTGACCCGAAGCTCAGCCAGCTACCATGCAGCAAATAAACCACCATGTCAGGCTTTAAGAGCAGCCTAGGAAAAAGGCCAGACAAAGCTCAATTGCCCAGCTTTGCTATTTCTTTTAACGATGGAAGTCACACCAGTCTCTTCATTACTCAGTAGAACTTCCCTCTCTAAAAACAGCCCCCCAAGTAAGTGTGCAGTGCAGGTGGCTCCCCCAGTCCTTGCTCTCTGGAGCCAGCTTCTGTCTCTTCCTTTGAGGTAGGTTGAGGTGTCCCCAGGGAGGGACCGCAACTGCGGGGTCACATCACCAAGGTGGTGTCAGAAAGGCAGCCAGCAGGTTTCTGGTTGGCTCCACCACTGCACTTGTTGAGAGGTAATTTCTGAGCAGAGCTGGGCTCCAGGCATCTCTTGAGGCCCTCACCAGCTGAAGACAGGAACGTGCTGCAGGAGAAAGGAAACCCTGTGCTGCTTAGGGACAGTGAGAAAAGATCAAAAGGGCCATGGTGCAATGCTCATCTACAGTATCTTTATACAGAGAGACAGGGCTGCCAGGCTCACCTATTCCATCTCCTATCCCAGGCAGCACTACTCACCCCAATGGACACCCCAGGCACTGATGGGACTTCAGAGTCACAGCTTGATCTCCCTGCCTGCACAAAAACCCAACTCCATCCTGGCCTGGGCACAGCAGCAGGAATGCCATTCCCCTTAAGACCAGAGGTGTGTGCCTGCCCTCCACTTTGGCTCACCCAAAGGAACCCCAGTCCTTCACCTCTCTGCAGGAAGCTCTCAGGGCCAGCAGCACCTATTTTTCAGCCCAGCTTTGCCCAGGGAAGCTAGCAGAGTATGGCAGACCCAGAGGCATCACTGTTCCTCCAGCCCCACGCTGCAGTAGAGAGCCTCTGCTCACTGCTGGCCATATCAGAGCCCACAGAAATGGCACAGGTCTCTCTGAGGAACATCTTTTCAGCATGTCCTGACCACGACAATCCCAAACATCACCCACTCCCAGCTGTTCTGGGCCTCACTCCCACCCAAGCTGGGTGCACAGTGCTGAAGAGACATGCCTAGTCAGATAGATCATCATTCCAGCCCCACCAGTTGGCTCCCCAGGGAGCAGAGATTGGCTGCAGAGCCTGTAAACCAACCTGCTCCCCTCCCCTTAAACAAAGCTGCTTTCCCTGCTGCCACGTCTCTCTCAAGACACCAATCCTAAAACCACACTGAATATCATGCATGTCACAGCCACTGCAAACTCACCCCATATTGTCCAGTTCGCTGAAGCCATTTGCTTGAACATTGCTCTTCTGGAGGAAGAAAGATTTTGGCAGTGACCACTGCAGGAGGAGAGAAAGACAATCAAATGGCTATTTCAGTTGTGGCAGTCTGCTGTGCTCTGCTCTAGTGTGCTTCAGCCTCACTCTGCTGTGCATTGTCACTGCCACCACACTGTTCCCAGAATAGCAAACAGAGCAGTCTTTGCTCTCTGCTTGATGAAACCCTCTGCTGTAAGTGGGAGCAGAGCATCTCCAGGTCAAGAGTGGGTTTCTTTCATTGCATCAGCCTGCTGTAAGGCACAGGAGTGACAGACAGAGATGGCTCCCTCACGGAGGGGAATAAATGGCAGGCCAGTTGCCAAATATGTAAGGCTGTGCCTAGTACACCCAAGGATATTCAGATGCAAAATACTTCAAGATCTGATACTCTGGGTGGACTCCGCTTTGGTGGGAGTGAAACATGTGAGTTTCCAGACTCCTGGAGGCCTTAAGAGGGCAAACAGGTAGGGCAGGAGGTAGAACAAGCAGGTGCTCTGCCGAACTCTACCCAGGCAAGCTACCACCTCTCCCTAGCTCATCCACAGCCATACGCACCATCTGGGCTAAATCCATTCCTGCCCCAGTGTGGTACCCTTTGACACACCAGTTCTTCAGTAGCTCCAGACCTGGAGAGTGACACAAAAGAAGTGAGAATGAATGACCAAGTTCACAGAGAGTTAAGCCTTCCCTGCTCAGGGGCCACAAATATGCTGCATGGAGTGAACTGCCCAAACAGTACATGTTATGCCACAACTACTTAACCACGTGCCTGAGCCCAGCAAACACGGGGTAAACCAAGGGCGTTCACCCTTTGTACAAGTGAGCAGCAGCATGTGTGCTGCCGCAGTGCTGCCTCCCTCCCAGGGAACCACACGCACTGTGCAGCAGGCTCAGCCAAGCACGGAAACTGGGGCAACACAGGATTTGCCAAATGAAACCAGACTGGGCTGTCCCCCTGAGCCCGGTGCCTGCCAACGGCAGCATCTGATTTGGGCTGCACCAGTGAAAGTTCTTATCGTACAAATGTAGAGCAGCTTTGCTGTCACCAGCCCCTTTCCCAGAGGAGAGCAGCTCAGGCAACCTTCTCCTTGCACAGCACTCTGCAGCACCCCAGCACATCATCTCCTCCTTGCACAGATCCATCTGGAGCTCGACATGATCTCCATCTCTGACAGAGGGCAAGGCTGGCACAGACATTGCTCGAGCAAGCAGAGCCATGTGTCCAACTGCACTGAATAGGTTCCACTTCCTCCAAGGCCTCCTCATAGCTGTCCCTACCTCAACCAAGCTCCCTGCTCTCTGCTAACACAGAAATACTGTGAAAGCCAGGATTGCTCCCTTCCCGATTGATTTTTTAAGAGCTTTAAGGCCATAACACAAGCTAAGGGGCCTTGAGATTTAAGAACCAGCAGAGCAATGGCCAGGAACTTGATGCTGTCCAGCTGGGGTTACTGTGATTTGCTATACGATACTAGCCCTGGCTATAGGAGGAATCCTTGCTGTCCAGACTCTGCTCTTCAGTGACCTTTCAGCAAGCCCCAGAACCTTGGAAGAAACCCCCATGTGTTTGGGTCTGCGGGGAGCAGGGCAGCTCAGCAGCTGTGCTCTGGCTCTCTGCACCAGCCCAGGCTTTGCACCTTGCTGGCCAGGGAGAGAGGAGGGCTACAAGGAACATACATGAATGGGAATGGGCGAGGGGGAGGCTGGGTTTTGTTCAAACATGAAGAACAACGAGGGGATAGAGCACATCTGCTCCCTGGGCTGCTTTGGGGAAGATGGAGCACTGGCCTGAGAGGCAAGGTTCAGGGCAGCACTTCAGTGCAGACGATGACAGGATCTTTCCTTCAGCTGACAGGAGGACATCCAGCAAAGGTATTAGCGAGGCAAAGGATGACACATGCTGACAGCACAGCTGGAGAGGACTATGAGGTTACTATCTCCCTGTGAAAGACTGTTACTGACTCCTTTGGTATTTGCTTTAACACCAGTGAAAAGTAATAAAAGCATATTTTTTCTTCTCTGCCAGCTCCTGCAGAAGCCTCTCCAGCTAGATCAAATGCTGAAGAGAGAGCCATGAGCCTCTACTGCTGCCCTGACAGAGACAGCCCTGGGTGGGAAGGTACTGGTCCAGCCCACCTATGCTTCATTAAAGAATGGGGTTTTATTAAAATACAGGGTTGTGTCCTAGAAAGATGGAAATGACAGCTAGATTTCTAGTGTTTAGGAAAAATTCCTCTCTGTTCACACTGACAGTTTTTCATCAATTAGAAAGCAGCAGGAGACCAGGGAATAGGCCAAAGTTTTCCTTCACAGATCACCCGTAATGAGCAAAGCCCAGTGACTCCAGCTGTTTCCCCTCAGAAAAAGGGCAGATGAAGAGAATAAGAGGCCTGAGCTAGCCAGGCTGAAGGCAGAATCCCACCCTGCTTCAGCCTCAGGCCACCTAGAAGTCCTGCATTTACCTTACCAGAGCAGTCAGCACCCCTGGTCAACTCAGAATAAGCTTTTTGTGATATCTGAAGCAGTCTGGGAGGGTAACACATTTCCTATGGCTAGCGTGCAAGCAGGCTGCTCCCCCTCAACGTGTGTAGCTTACAAGTCTCCCACGACTGCCGGCAGGCAGCCTGCCTGACTCAAGTGCCTCAGATGCAGTTACCTTTGTGTTTATTCAAGTAGTATTTGAGCTCCCACTGGGTCACCAGGATGTTGAAGTAACGAGGCTGCTCGAAGAAGTGCAGGTACCGCATGGAGATGTGGGTGGGGAACACTCGCTCAAACTGCCCACGCCGGGAATACTCGTCCTCTGTCTCCACCAGAATGCGAACATCATCTGGGGTCAGGATGTCCAAGACAGAAGAATAAAAATCCTGAAGACAAGAGCAATCCAGGGTCAGGGAGAAGCAAAACTACACTTTGTTGGCTTCCTTTCTTCCCTCCTCACTCCTCAGAGTCCCTCAGGCAGAGGTCTCCATCTGTCTGAGATATTTGGGACACACAGAAAATGGAAAAAATCTAGGCTCAGTGGTGACAGCAACGCTGATGAAGCTGAGGAGATCCCCAGTTCTTCAGCCCAACCTGTCTTACAGATACTGCTGGGTGGCACACAAAGCAAGTGCCCTTGATAACCCCCATGGGGACAGCAGGCAAAGGATACAAGAGCTGTGCAGAGACAGGAGGAACAGGTCAATGCTCAGACCTAGTCTGGGGACTGGTGGGTAACATGCTTCTCAGTACATGCCTATTTTAATGTAAAGATGAGCCAGTGTGGCAGTGGCTTAAGCAAACCCAATTTATTTCTGACCAGCTATCTTGTAACCCACTGGAGTCCAAGTGCTCCCCATCGTGTGGCTGTCCCCACAGAGGGGCACAATCTGGAGAGGGACAAGGGCTGGTTGGGATGGTGGCCTGGCAAGATGGCACAAGTATCGGAGGAGACTGTTATACCTGGTCAGGTATCTTCTGCATCAAGTAATAGACCTTCTTCATCTTCTCAGCTATGAAATGCTCAGACATTGGCTTGGGCTTCTCCTTCAAAGCACTGCCCATACTGAGGACACAAAAGAGGCAGCAGAGCATTTAAGTGCAGAAGACAAAATCCTGCCATGGCAGAGCTGTTCCCAGCAACTTCTGTGAGAGCAGTGACACCCTCAGGAAGATGCCATGGAAAATCCTTTCTCTAAGGATTTCACTAGTTCCGTGATAAGCAATGTACCCACAGCCTTGTGCATCAACACAGGACCCAGGAATGATGTGGAGAGGGGAACTGGGAGGGCCCTGCCAGTTCCCCACTAAGGCATTTCAACATTCCTCTGTTCAAAGGTCAAGCATCTCATCACACCCACGCATGGTGCAAGAAGGCAAAAGACACACCATGACCCAATTCACAAGTACTGTGAATTGGGTCACAGCGGGATCTCATGGGACCTCATGTTTACATCCTGCTTGGAATGCAGTTTCCTAACTATAACCACAGGTATGAGCACTTGGTATTGCATAAGGCAAGAGGGAACTCATAGATCCAAAACTTCCTCCTGCAACATTCAAGAACTCTCAAGACCCAAATTCAGCTCCAGCTCCACATGCCATGGGAAATCCTGGCCTTTTGTACGATCTGGCCAGCAACCATCTAAACTATTCTAAGCACCCAACTGAACCACTTGGGGATATTAGAGCCTGGGAGATACTTGTCCAACACCTTTTAACCCTATATCAACATGCCTAATTTATGCCGCTGCTGCAAAAATAATTAGTTGTGTGTGGATCCAAATGAGGAGAGCAAAGCCTCGAGGCTGTGCTCTGTGGTGCTCAGGGAATATATAGATCTGCTGGAACAGTGCCTATATGAAATAAACCCTTAATATCCTTCCCAGGGCAGAAGATGTGATTAAGCAAACTTGCTGTTGGATGCAGGAGCTCTGGTAATGCATCATCTGAACTATGTTAAGGAACTGCTTAATCCCTGCAGGTCCCTCTGAAAACACCTTCCCTTCAGCACCTCCTCTTCAAGCTAGGAAGCAGCGTGTGATCAAAGTACCACAGATAAGCTGGCGAGAGATTCCCGCCTGGAACAGGCCGTGCTCCAAGCCTTTCACTTTGCTGAAGGCACAGGGCAGGCAGAGGGCAAGAGTCCCACCTTTCAGCATGCCCATACAGCACTGTGTGCTGGTGCTCAGGCCAGCAGGCTGCTCCTCCAGTTACTTATGGCCAGTAGCCACTCTGCTGCAGGGAACAGGACTGGTTTCCCCCTCAGTCAGGTTTGAAACCAGTGTAAGCCCAAGCTGTGGTGAAACACAGAAGGAGCACGGGCCTAGGTGGACACATGTCTGGGAATTAGCCTTATGCAAGAAACAGTCATGTTAGCTACCAGGTAAGACAATACACACTCTTACCCATAGGTCTACAGCCTCTGACACCTGCAGTCCTGCCTAAAGAACAGATCACTTCAGCCTCTGCAAAATAACAGGTGCTCCTCTAGCTTAAGGCAAAAGCACATCAGCCCTGGAGCAGAGGGTAAGCAGATCCAGCCTCAACACAGCCAACCAAGCCTCCAAGCAAAAGCTGAAGCAGTGCAGCAGAGCATCACACTAGTTATGGCAGGAGGAAGGAGAAGAAAGCACATGTCAACTAACCCCAAAGTAAGCACAAATTACACTGGCTTAACTTCCAACTATGAACCTGCAGAGAGGGCATAAATCCTTCTGCCTTGCAGAGACCACAGGAACCAAACACTCAGGCAGTCATGCAAGTCCCTCAAGCCCATATCTGAAGGATCAGGAAGCACAGGCTCTCAATAGCATAAAAATAAGCATTTGCTTGGCTGCAAGCAGCCCCTACATTAAATCCTCCAAGAAAATAAGCCTGCCACTGACAGAGAAGGGGGCTGACCTGGAGGTAGAACCACTTCTTGTCTGTGGCCTTGAGGCCACGCTGTCTGCGCTGGGAAGAACAAAGCCAGCAAGGTTGAGGAGGTCCCGGATCATCTGGCCCTTGATGCTCACATCCAGCGGGGAGTTGGTGTGAAGGCTGTGGGGAAGAAGCATCACAGTGCTAGAACGGAGGTACCAAGCCTCACAGCCCCAAGAACACACCCTGGTTTAATACCAAGCGAGGTACAAAATCCAGTCTGTCCTTTGCCTCATCACAGACAGACATGAGACACTAATAGAAAAGTCCTGACAACAGCTCTTTGAATGGGGGCTCCCCACCAGGAATGGTTAATTTCTCCACCTCTTCCCAGATTTGCTGGAAACAAGCAAATACATCCTTAGAGCCCTGTGTGGGACCATGACTCTGTGTCCAGCTCATCCTCATCCATCTCACAGGCAGGAGAGGCCATGCTCGGGTACAAGGCAGCTCCCAGCCCTGCCTGTGCAGCTGACATCATGCAGTCAGGTACAGTCAGCAAGCAAGAAGCAGTGCACGAGGCACTGGAGCTGCTGATCACTTCTACCCACGCAAAGAAGAAATCTCTGCCATCACCTGTTCCCTACATTACACATCCCTCCTTGGTCTTCCTTTTTTAATGTACTCCTCCCTGGCTCTACCTGGAGCATGCCCAGCGAAGCATTCTGAGCTGCAGATGGATGCTGCTCTCACAGACAGGGAGGACTTTGATTCCTGCAATCTGGAGAGGGAGACTTCAAAGCCCACAGTGTTTTAGCACAGGGTGCAGGAGACATCACGAGCCAAATTCACTGTGTGGTAAAAGAAAGGACATTATTCACTCTGCTATGGCTCAGAATCTGCTTTACCTTGGGGAAATGTTGACCTCTAAGATCCAGGGCTTGAGGTTTTCATCCAGCATGATATCAAACCCAAACAGCTCATGGCAACAATATGGGCGACGCACGTACATCTTCACCAGGCTGTTCACGTAGGGCTCAGATCTGCAAGCCAAGGAAAAAATTCTTATTTCCAACAGTCAGACAGCAGAGCTCTGCCTGTTCACAGCACACACTGCCAGTTCCAAAAGCTTATGCAGACACATGCTGCAGGAGCGGGTGGGCTGAGAGACCAATGAAGGCCTGTGAGCTGCTGCTGCACTGCATATGGAGCCTGCGTTGCATCCTGAGCAGCTCTGCTCTACCAGGCAGGATCTGCTTCTCAACACAAAATCCATCCTGCACCAGAGGACCTTTCTTCTCAGGCACCCTGGCCAAGCAGGGGAGTGGGTGGCAAGCTGGGCAATGCTGGGTACATCCCACCCTTCTGGCCTCCCCCCTGGGACCCAGGAAATGTAAGGTCTGTTTACCCAGTGCAGTTACTGCAGCATGAGTGCAAGTAACAGAACAAAAGAAAAGATTCAGAAAGAAATACTGAAGCCAACAGCAAGCAGTAGCATTTAGATTAAAAGGACTGGGCTGAGAGGAGACTGGGAAGCCAGAGGGATCAGGGTGCACAGCACAGCCAGACACAGAGCAAGGAGTTCCAGGACTCACGCAATGATGGTTTTGATAACGATGTCCTTAATCTTCTCCAAGATGGCCTCACTATTAACTCCCTTTTGGTTCAGGTAACTCCAGAGAGCTTTGAGTGCCCTGGGAGAGAGAAAGTAAAGAAAGTAGCTTTGTAGCCCATTGCTTCCCAGCCCCGCCAGGAGAGTGAAAGCAGCAGAGGGGAATCTTAACAAAACTCTTCCCTGGCACAGCCATCCTTCTGCCATCCTCAGACCCCTTAGCTCCTCGTTGCTGCCCTGCCCAGGTTCATTCCTGGTCTTGTGCGGCCCAAGCTACCAGGAACGTAAATGTGTCACAGACTTGTCCCAGCACTGGAGGAATAGGTCCCAAGTTAGCACATGAGCAAGGTAAGTCAGGACCAGATCTTTTCTTTACCCCACCTTCTTGTCCTCAACAACCCTCCCCTTCCTGCAAGCCGTCCCCCACAGCACTGCAAAGCAGCTAAGCAGGAATCCAGCAAGACCCCTGTGTTTTAGCTAAAGCCATTTCACTGAGGCTTTGGGGGTGGAGAAACATTTCTGAATGTGTTGAAAACAAGATGGTAGGGAGGAGCATCTCTGCTTTTATAGAAGTTTCCCACACCACACCAAGTGCTGCAAACTACCCTGACACTGAGCCAAGGATGCTCAGATGTTGCTCAAGTGAGACCATGTGGCTAATGGCCAGGAATCCAAAGGTCATGCTTCCTGCATAAGAGATGGAGTATATTACAGCTACTCTCATCTTTAATGTGGAAACAGCCAGCTTTGACTTGTATGGCAGTACCAAAACCCCACACAATCCCACCCCCATGGGATTGCAACCACTGGGGGACAGCAGCCCCTTCTCAAAGTCTCAATGGACAAACAGATCACTGAACAGCAGGTCCAGGCCTTAGAAAGCAATCCTGCCACAACAGCAGAACTTCTGCAGCTCCCTCTGAACTGAAGTAGCCCTGCCCAGGCCCATGAATCAAGAACTCTATCCTGCACTATTTTTAAAAGATTTCAAACACCACTGTGGAATCAGAGACAAGTGCCTGGGGCCTTGGATCAGTGCACCCATGGGACAGCAAGGAACAGGAACTGCTGCCAGGCTGCAGCCCTTCTCCCAGGTACCTAGAAATGGCACTGCTGCTCCTATTCCCTCTGAGTAGCACATAAATTACCACAGTTTTGCACCAGGATGGCCCTTTTCTCTGCCTCCCCAGGGAAGTCAAGAATGAGATGGGCAGAAGCTCCCTTCTAGCCTTCACAATTACCCATTTGAATTCTAGCAGCAAAAAATCAGATCCTGCTTTAACCACATCAGATCACCCTTGCAGTATGGCAAGCAGATGAATGGGCACAGATGAGAGCAGAGCTGGAAGCAGGGAACAGCACAGAAACAGGCAGGATGAACGATCAGCACAGCCCAAGCAGCAGCAGACAGGATGAGTCACAAGCTAGGGAGAACATTCAGATTTCATTGACACTAACCGATGCTAAAATCACTGCCCCTCCAGTTTCCTCAAGCAGGAGCACACAGTGAAGGAAGCACCTTCACTTTTCAGGTAAAAATACTGAAAACAGGCTGACTTAACAGGCAACAGAAATTGCTGCCCTGTGCCCTAAAAGCAGCACCTACCACTTGTGTCCCTGACAAGCAGTCTCATCCGAGTTGGACTTGTACCCCGTGTTCTTCTTGTTCACACTGTAGTTGGTCAAGTGCACAAACTTGTTGCTGAGGCTCTTAATCGAGGAGGAATACCTGAAGGAAGCAACAGAGGCACAAGTAATATGAGCTTGAACTGTCTGCCTTCAGGCCCACGGGGCAGGCAGAAACTCTTCTCATCTCAGACCACCCTTGGCCACCCACCAGCTCTGCTGCCTCCCCTTCCCAGGCTGCCTGAAGCAATCCGTCTCCTGGGCCCAGGGCTGATGCGACAACGCATGAGACAGAGCAGGCTGCCTTGGGACAGTGGGATGCAATCCCACCCTCACAGCATGTCCTTAAAAAAGATCAGAGCCTCAGTAAACAAAAGCAATGACAGAACTGCAGCAGCCCGAGGCAATATAATTAAAACTGGAAGAAACATCTCAGTTTCTGGTACACCAGCTCTTATGGAGTATGAAGTGCAGACAGCATATTGCAAGAACTGCTTTACACTCAGCTGATCTTGCCTTAGGAAAGGTGGATAAATGAAGTGTCCTTTCACATTCCTTTTCAATGCTCACCTGCAGTGACCCCATGTATTTGCAGACTGCTTCTTAACCAAGCAAGCTACAGCTTTAAGCATGTAGGGTGCTACATAGGATGACTCCCTCCTGCCCCAGCCGAGGTGGGTACCACAGCCACACATGCCTCACCTCTGAGGCAGCCCCCCAGCACTGTTCTCCCACACAACCTACTTGCAGCTAGCAAAGCGAACCAATCCATCCTTGAACAGGTAGACCCTGAGGGGATCATAGCAAGTGACGTAAACGTAGATCCTCAGGTCAAACTTCTTCCCGCCAATGAGGTAGGGTTTGTGCAGGTATCTGCAGAGGGAAGCAAGCACCAGGGGAGGGTTATGAGTTCCATGTGGAGGAATATCTCCAAGCCCCATTTCAGAAGGCTTGGAAAAACAGGGATTAATGCAGAAGCCCTTTTGTAGAGCATTTCTAAGTGCATCACAGTGAAAATGAGAGAGAAAAAAAGCTCCCCCATACAGTATTCCTTTCTGCTCAGTTCCATTTTGAAGATATTTTCCTGGCTCTAAGACACAGCAGCTTTTCCACACCCACCAGACTGATCACAGTACTCAGGAACATTTAAGACACGCAGTATTAGATGCAGTGTGCCACAGATGGTTTGGTTCAACAAGCACAAACAGTTGGAAATTTTTATCCAAATAATTCGATTCTTCAGCCCACAAGTTCAAGATTTTTCCATAGGAAAGCTCATCACTTTGCACAGAAGCAATCAGGAAGAACAGACAAGCCAACACAGCAATTCCCTGTCTGCCAAACACTGGGCAGATTTCTTGCCCTCATAAGATCCTTCCCACAAAGCAGCCTCAAGATAGGCTATTCCATTTTTTCTGCAGAAGAGGGAGGAGATTCCAGAAATCTTGTTATTTCTAGAAAATCCTCTGGCCAACATCCACACACATGGAGGCTCTTACTGACGCATTCTGACTTGGATAAGAAAAGATCTTTGACAATTGCCACCTTTTCCCTGGGACTTCGCTTCCCACTGTTCTTGTGGGCACTGGATAAGGTCTGTTTGCCTCCAAAGATGCCAAACCCCAGGTTACAAAGCAGTGTGAGCAGGATCACAGCAGAGCTCAAGCTGACCAACTGCCACACAAAAGCTCCAGAAAGCCTCAGGAGCCAAGTTTGTAAGCGAGACCTCAAAAATCTTCACAGAGACAGCAGCTCTCTGGTAAGCCCAGCTGCAGCATCACACCCAGGCAGATGGGAAGCTTCCAGATGTAAATCAAGTGCTTCTCTGCCACATAGTGGCAGAGGACCAAACCCAGCCAGAGAGACTGAACATGAGGAGGTCCCAGGCTGTGTGTTAACCTTGCTTTCCCCCACTCACCTCTGTACCAGCAGTGGTCTCCTTTTGGGGAGCTGGCTCCATTTATGGATGACTTGGATACCGATGCCTCTTGCTGATGCTGGCTGCAAAACACAAGTAAGAAGGGATCGAATCTCCCTGCAGCTACAATGGGACAGAGGATTGAGCTCTGCTTTGCACTTACTGGTTTCACAATCCATTTCTGGCGACTAGCTCCTTCCTCCCACGCTTTCTTGAGTAATTTGATGTCCTGAGGCAGGATGAAGGACTGGGGAAAAAAGTTAAACTCCTTCTTCCCACAGCGAGCCTGCATTTTCAACAGGTTGCGCCACAGACGGTCCTTTCTCCCAATTTGAAATGAGCCAGGGAAGTGATTTAACTGGAAAAGAAACCAGATGCTGTGAGATCTCACTGCTTCCCACCTTCCTGCCCACCCCTTGCTGTTCCCTGCCTAGAGGATATATCCTTTCTGAACACAGTGCAGGGTAATGTCCTTTGCTTCCCTCCCAGGATTGCATCAAGATAGGAGCCATGTGCTTCTGAGGCCCTGCAGGGACAAAAACCCACACCAGCTACAGAGCCAGCAGCAGGTTCCTTGTTTCTTCTGATTGTCTAAGCAGCTGCAGGGCACTAAGCCTCAGCCTTTGAGTTTCTTCTGGCAGTATTCTCCACCCCAGTACCTTCCCACTTGTTTCTAAACTGTATGCCAGAGTCCTGCCTATGCAACACAAGCTCTGGGGACAGACAGACCCTGCAGCAGGACAGACACAGGGCTGGAGGCTGCTAACTTCCAAACATCGATGCTGCCTCAAGGCTGAGCAGTTCAGAGCATCACAAAACAAACATGTATGTGTGATGGATATCAAACCTCTTGTCCCTTGTGTGTTCCCCAAGCTATGGGCCAACCCTTTGTGATACAGCCCTCTCTGCCAGCCCCTCTGGCTATGCTGGCATAGGGGGCACTGGCCCTACTGCTCAGTTCTGCCAAAGAAAGGACTGCTTTGAGCAACAATATCTGAATTTAGACGAGCTCACAAGTGAACATGCCTTGGCTACAGCCTCAGTCTGTACAAAAGCCATCCTCACAGCACAGATGCTCACCTAGCTGCCCCTGTCTTTTGAGCTCATCTCCCAGCACAGGAATGCCAGCTGCCACGCTTTGGAAGGGATCATGTGGGGACAGCCTGCACAGCAAACATCTGGGCTTGAAAACAGGGGCACCCAAACTGCTCTGAACATATTCTCCATGCACTTGAAGGAGGGTAGCCCAAAACATCACCTACCTTCTGGTGCTCCTTGATGGTTCTGAAGCTGGGGGATTTCATGTGGTGGCCCCAGTAACCCAGCCAGTCATTGCTTTCTGCAGGAAAACCAGATAAACCATGACTAAGTACGCTGCCACCCACAATCCCCTCTAGCCCACCAGCACCCCACCTCCTGGAGCTAGCAGAAGTATGCCAGGGATGCTGCACAGAATAGCACAAAGCACTCATACTGGATACTCCAAAGCTGCCAAATCGAGAGCTATGAGTGGGATATGCCCTCTGTGTCCCATTAATAGCCCCAAAACAGCCTGTGCAGGGGTTTCCCAGTATACACAGGAGCCCCGTACGTACTCTGCGAGATCACGCTCCAGGGCATACATCGTAGCTGCAAATGCTCAGTGCTTCCCCAGCCCCAGCCCTCTCCTATACATCTCTTCAGTGTCAAGATCCCAAGCCTGAGAACAGTATGGCTATGGTCAGAGAGGATGACTTTTTCCTTAACACATGAAGATAGGATGCTGTGGTGCTGGGGTTGGCACCACATGAGTGCCAGGCTCCTTAGAGTGGCAGCACCATCTAGAGGCATAGCTCAAACAAGCCACAGCACAGCTCTGCTGCCTCACACACTGCCTCAGCTCCTGACAGTCCACGAGTAAGTCGTTGTTGCCCATGCCAAGGACAAGCCAAGAGGGAGATCAGGACTCACAGAGCTCAGATATCACAGGTCAGACAGGCAGAAACGGGAACCGCATCCTGCAATGCCCAGCTCTGCTCATGACAGGCAGCCTGCCTTCTCATGCCCACAGGCTAGAGGCAGGGGAGGACAGGATGTGCCAGATACTTCCAGCCTCCCACAACTTACTTTTGCTGACTCTGAAGTGGGATCTGCTAATGATCTGCTTCACTATATTTGGTGTGACTGTGCACATTTTCCATCGCAGCAGCTTCCTCTGTTCCCAAGGCAGCTTTTCCACTAGGAAGGCAAAAATGACAGAAGGAAAATGAACACAACAACTTCCCTAAGTTCACTGCACAGGAACAAGGCCTGCAAGGGAGGATGCACAGGCCCCTTCGCAAAACTAGCATAGAACAGAGGACTCCGTGGCTGGGGGAGTTCCAGCAGGCTGGAACATTTGGTGGCAGCCTGACTCATTCTCCAGCCATCGTTTTACTCCAGCCCTTTGGATCTGACAGTGGTGCTGGGCCTCATCAAAGTAAGGGATGCTGTGTGCTGGCACCGCTACTTGCTAATAACAGGCTGGCTGCTCTCACCCTACACAGTAACATACCCCAGCTCACCTGCCTCATCCCGAGTACTGAAGTAGAGAGTTGGAGGCACATTAGGGAACAAACTGGAGACAAGAGCTGGTTTGAGCACTTTCTCCTGAGCCTCAGCAGGCTGGGCCAGGCACTCGATGCACTTCCTAGGACAGATAAAGCAGTAGGCGTTTGGCTAATGGTAAAAATGAGCACAGGGATGAAGAGGGAAGCCAGACAAAGCCTTGTTCCTGGTAGCAGGATTTGCATCATTGCCATGTGGTGCAAGTAATGGGTATTAAAGTTAGTAACCCAGTCTGCAGCAAGGACAAGGGGGCGAGATTGCAATGAATGCACATGCCAAGTGTTGTAACCCCCGTGGGTTTTGCATTTTGCCAGGGCAAGGGGGTGGAGTCTGTTACACGGCAAACCCCATAACCTAGTCCACAGGAACAAGTGGTGGAGGTTGTAATATATATATATATATATATATATATATATAAAATGATTCAGCTTTTGTAATCCCTGCAACACACCAAAACCAAGAGAAAGAGGGACAGAGTTTTACTGACTGTACATCCCCTTTCGTACCACAGCAATCCTTAGCACCAGGGAGGAAGGGCAGAATTTATAATTTATCTATTCAGGTTGGAATGATGCTAAAAGTAGCACTTATAATGGACATATATTTAAATATATGCCACTGCAGCCAGTGGAAGAAGCCACACCAGATATAATCCACTAAGGAACTAAGAGCACCAAAAGAAAAGGAACCACAACACATTGACCCCAATCTCCCAGGCCACACCTTGGCTAACTGAAGGAACTGAGTGTAGCCTAAGGGGTTTAGAGACCAGGATGGGGGTGGGAGTGGAAAGAAGAGTTTTCCCTAAATCTTTGTACATATACATCTGTTCCAATACCAGAATCAGTAACTCAAAGTTTATCAATTGGCAATAAGTTATATTAACATTCCTTGACACAAAATTGGGTTTGCCCACAACAGACCAAAGACAGCAGACAGCAGCAAAGGCTTTGAGGCCAGCCCAGCTCACAGCCCACACAGAGAAGCGGCCAACTCCCTCCTGCAGGAGGCATTTGGCCCAAGTGCTGCTTTCTCTCATCTGCCCCTGGAGGCCAACCAGCCACATCCTGACAGAAACAGCTGCTGATCCAATTTGTCACCTCTGCAGGACTTTCACAGCCATGTGTGAGCACCCTGCAGCACCCTGAGGTTCAACACTCGCTTGCAGGCAGTCTTCCTTGTCTCCCAGGTGAGTTATAACATGACAGAAAGCAGCAAGTTGTCAGGCAGAGAGCAAAGCCTGAGGCAGCCCTGCTACAAGGAGCAGCACAATTGCAAAGACCAGCTCCCATTGCTGGATTGGCAAGAACAGGTCCTACAAAGGTCTGCCAAGAGTCAGGAAGGCAGAGCTCTGGTGACTGCAAGCTCACAAATCCTCCCCAGAGAAACCTGCTCCCAAAATCTAAAGGAAAACCCAGGCTATAGGACTTCTTTTTAGGAGAGACAGGACGCTGCAGAGCTTTGCAATCTCTGGCCTAGGATGCCTCCACTCTGCTTCATCTGCAAGGCAACAGCACTGCAAGAACAGAGTCTAATCCAGTAAGCCTAACCCAGCAACTAGCAGGGGCAGTGAAATTGAGAGCCCTGTTTTGATGTGGTAGATATATCTCAGCACTTTGCAGACTGCTGCCTGTAGCAAGAGAAGTAGCTTTGGTCTGCAGGGTAGCAAGGGAAGCTCATTTTGGTAGGGAAGCCTGTTACTACCTCCACTTCATTCCCCTACATGCTACAGCCCTCCTCTGTCATCAAGGAGGGCAAAGACAGACAAATCTGGACAAAGGTGCAAAGTTCAATATACTATGTACTGCTACTAACCTGGATATAAGAGCCACGGATGCACTGGATGACACGCCAGTCACAGAGGAAGCATCCGAGTCACCTGCAGATGGGGACAGAGTCAAGTTTTATCTCCACAGGGAGTGAATGCATAGTTATGAGGGGAAAAGACAAAACAAATGCTCCAGGGGACAGACCCTTCCCAGCTGTCCTGAATCATTGGATCCTGGGTTTTGCCTACTTGGTGGCATAAAAGGGGTGGAGCTGACACTGCACAGAGAGGAGATGTCTAAGTTTTGGAGCAGGATAGTGGTGAACCCTAGCCTGCTCCCCAGTGGGATGCATACAGTTCCTCCTTGCTGCTACACTGCTTTTGGGTTCAGCACAATCTCTAGGTCATCCTGAAATGACAACATGAATGTAAGACAGGAGAGAGCTGTGCTCACCCCCAGCTCCCAGACAGCCCTCACACTCCCCACCTCAAGGCATGGAGCACAGCCTCCTCAGGGAACCAGCACTTACTGTCCTCGTCTTCCTCCTGACTGCTGCTCTCATCCAGGCCATCAGGAAGTTCTTCTTCTGCTTCATCCTGGGGATGGCTCAGCTCCAGTGGGGACTGCTCAGAAGGGATACTGGGACAAAGGACATCACATCAGAAGGAGTGGCACAAGTTTTCAAGGGCCAAAAGACCCAGAAGCCCACCAGGCAGTATGAGATAACGTGGACAGCAATGATATCACTGCACTCCCTGGTGCTGATGTACAAGCACTAATTGCAGGCTAGCAAGATGGAGAGGTCCCAGAGGAGCCAGAAAGAGGCACAAGGACACCATCTCCCAGCAGGAGTGCACAAGCTCTGTGTCCTTGCTCCCTCCCTGTCCTGCATCAGTTTTGCATACCTTTAGGAACCCATGTCCCTGCCCAGGAAAGCCTTGCTGGACCTGGCTCAAGAGCAGGCTTCACCCAACACACACGCAGAGCTTGCCACAGCAGGTAGGGCCCTGTGACTGTCAGGACTGAGCTAGAAATGCCACACAGCAATTCTATGCTATGGCTGAAGGAGAAGATGGAGGGGCTCAGAACCACCTGCATCAAGCTGGGGTAGGAGGAAAGCTCCCCCTGCATCACAGAATCATAGAATGGTTTGTGTGGGAAAGGACCTTAAGATCATCAAGTTCCAACCCCCCTGCCATGGGCAGGGACTCCTCACACTAAGCCATGTCACCCAAGGCTCTGTCCAACCTGGGCCTTGAGCACCGCCAGGGATGCAGCATTCAAAACTTCCCTGGGCAACCTATTCCAGTGCCTCACCACCCTAACAGTAAAGAACTTCTTCCTTATATCCAATCTAAACTTCCCCTGTTTAAGTTTTAACCCGTTACCCCATGTCCTATCACTACAGTCCCTAATGAATATTCCCTCTCCAGCATCCTTGTAGGCCCCCTTCAGACACTGGAAGGCTGCTGTGAGGTCTCCACGCTTTTCCAGGCTGAACAGCCCCAGCTTTCTCAGCCTATCTGCTGCAGCTGGGTTCTGCTCAGGAATGCAGGCCATGGTTACCCTTATTGGCACCCCATAGCGGCCACAGTGCATCCTCTCCCAGCACACACACATGTAACAGCCAGCCCAGCCCATACTGCCACCTGGCTCTACTCACTCGAGCTTTCCTGGGAGCATAGTGTGGGCCCGTTTCTCCTCTCTCTCCAGTTGGATTGTGGACATCCGAGTTGCCACTTCAGCGACGGCCACAACATGCGGAGGATCTGCTCTCACTGCCCTGTCCCCGGGGCATGAGCTCGGTGTGCTCACACGCTGGCAGCCGGCACCACGCTCAGGAGAGGCAGCAGGCAAAGCCAAGGGATGGACACTGATATGCTTAGTGCAGCCAGCAGCAGCATCGGTGCCTGCAAGGCTCGAGTTACTGTTAAGGCAATGGCTACCTGGCTCCAAGTTGTGAGGAGTGATGGCTTCTTTTGGGGTGACCTGTGCTATGATGTTCTGCCTGCACTTGCTGTTCCAGCTGGACAGGCTGCCCACGTTTGTAAGGGCAGAGCTTCGGGCTCTGTGTGCGAAGCCATTGTGTGTGGCAGTCTGTATGGCCAGCTGCTGCACAGCCTCGCTGATGCAGATCTCTGGTTCCTTCTCTTTTACGCTGTGTGTTCTCCTCTCAGCATCTTCCCATAAACACTGGTCCTTCCTGAGGGTTGCACTGCTAGGCACAACAGCCACAGACGGGACTGCAGTTTGCTCCAGTGCATGGTTGCTGCTTTTAACTGCTCTGTTGACCATGGTACTGGTGGAGCTGTCTCCATGCCTAGAGTGGGACCGTGAGGTGGTGGGGATGCTATGGGTGTTTTTCACCTTCTTGATCTCCAGTGACTGAGGGAAAGGCACTTTAGCACTGCTTGGCCGTAGGAAGGAGGTGTTATTGAGCTCTGGTCTACAGAAGCCAGAAGACTGCTGACCTGAGCTCAGGGCAGGGCCTTTGACCCCAGTCTCAGAGCGTTCCTCTGCCAGTGCAGGTTGCAGGCAGGGTTCTGTCAGCAAGGAAGACATCACCCTTCTTGTGGTAGAGCCGGTGTCCAGAGGGCTTTGGAAAGGAAGCTCATAGGGCTTAGGTCTGAGGCAGGAGCATCGGTAGAATAGAGTGCTCCTGCCTGGGTTCAGGCAGGGTTGGGCTGAGGATGGGCTCAGGAGGGCGTCTTCACTGGGGCATGTGTGGCATAGTGATGGTGAGCACAAGCAGGACTGCTGCAGAGGGATCCCTGAGGGCAGCAGGCTGTGGAAAGCACTCACATGCGTCCTCTCTAAAGTCCAGATGGGTTTTGCCTGCTGCCAAGTGAGGTGTGGCTCAGCTCTCCCTGCTGAAAGGGTGCCAGACTCAACCCAGACACTCTTCTCTTGTTTGGGGCCTGGACTAGTGTGTTTGGGTCCTGCAGAGGCCATATAGAGCCACAGCATATAGGCACAAGTGAGTCAGTCATCTACAGCAGCATCCTTGCTGGCCTGAAACAAAACAGCATGAAAGGCACTGTTACCCCGGCAGGGCAAAGCACCTGGCCCAGCGCCCAGGCAGGGAGCAAGGGCGGCTGCAATCCCCACAGGATGAGAAACCACAACTCCATCCGCTGAGCTCCATGAGAGTCTCCTGGGACCAAGACAAAGAAAGAGCTGGCATCTCAGAAGAAACTAGAGGACACAGAGAACAACTTAGAGAGGGCCCTGGGGAAAGTGCTGTGCACAAGGAAAGTCTGTGCCCTGCAAATGTGCAGGGGTGCATGGCTGCCACCAGGGCCACATGCAGCAGCCACATGCAGCAGCCCCAGCATAGCAGCTCTGGCTGCAAAGAGAGGGACACCACCTGCCTTGGACCTGGCATGGCTGCCTGAACCCACTCCCACAGATCTGTGTCTCCAAACCGCACCATGTGCTCCACCACCAGTCCTCCCAAACCCAAACATCCACTTCTTTTTCTCCCCCCCCCACTCCTTAAGGCTTCAGCTCCCAAGGTCACAGAAGTAGGTGAGATCCTCAGCCCTTGCTTTTAAAAGGAATGCTTTTCTCACTTTTATAACCCCATAGAAAAGCTCAGTGAGGACTGAGGGCATCCTAAGACCTCAGGACAGAGAAAGCAGCAAGGAGTAAATGCAGGGCTGTTCTAATATCAGCAGTTGGGGTTGCAGCAGAGACTGGCAGTACCCCACACACGTTCCTCCCCATTGCAGTCCTGCAGAAAAGACTCTTTCAAGGAGCAACTGGCAGACCACTGAGCTGCAGACAGGTGTCCTGGATCCTCCTAAAATGAACTATTGCACCATACCCACAAGATCCTCTTGACTTGAGGGGAAGGGAAAGAGAAAAGAAACCATGTGCCAGGTATTTGTCTTGCTTTAACACATGCCTGGAGGGCCCCTGGATACAGGTGTGATAGGAATTTGTAGGCTGCCTGGCTTGCTCTTCCACCTGCCAGCTCTCACAAGATTGCATATTTAAAGGAAAAAAAAAGGGCATAAAAATGAGGGTAAGCACAGCATCAACCATCACCTCCCAGTTTTCTTATAATACATGCACATGCTCCTTTCTCACCTGAAAAACCACCTTGCCACCGCAGCAATATATACTGCAGCATAGCTAAGAGACCCTGGGATTGCTCGGTAGCACCACGACACTTGCTCACACCTACCAAAGGGCTGGGTCAGACTGACCTACACCCTCCAGACCTTCTCAACCTGTGAATTACACCCCAGTCTCTAGCACAAGCAGTATCCCAAAGAGAGGCTGTACAAGGTGGGAATGTCCCACACAGGATCCCAGATGAGCTATATGTCCCCAAGGAGCACTGCTGCCCTGTGAAGCTCTCTCTGCAAGAAAGCATGGAAGGGGTAAGGTCCACTCCGTACTCATGGCCAGGACGGGGTGGCTGCATCCTTCTGCGAGCTGCAGCCAAGCGGGACTCAAGAGCCGCGGGGCAGGGAATCCCACATGCCTTACACAACGAGGCTGTACCGCACTATCCGATCGCTACCCTATCTGCTCCCGGCAGCAAACCCATTCTGACATTCACAGCAATTAGCAGAGAGCAAAGAAGCTGCGGCTCACATGCCGCCACCCGCCCGGCTCAAGTTTCCCTTAGTAAACAAGTGAGTGGCTTCCGCCACCAGCCCCCCTGGAAGCACCCAGGTCCCCAGGCGAGTTCGGGACACAAAGCACCCCCAACACACCAGCGAACGTACGTGTGAAAAGGGGAAACAAAACCAGGAGGGGAATGAAATGTCCCCATGTCCCTGTCTCAAAGGGGACTGTCACTGCAACACCATCACACATGCTGCCAGCTTGGCCATCGCCTGTGCTCTCACCAGGCTGTGAATGACCTTGCAGAACCAGGCTGCAGTGAAAGCCACCTGTGCCTCATCTCCACCCGGCTTTACAGCTATCAGTGGATCATCCTGCTATAAAAATAAGTGATTTGGCCTAATGAAGCTGTTACAAGGGACATGAATCCTACAGCCAGCTTAGACAGAGGTGTGAGTATGTCAGCAGCAGCTCTGAGTGACAACAGCAGCAGAGATGTGACCAGCACAAGCAGGGGGGTACTGCCAACACGCCTGCAGGGAGAACACGCTGAGCCCTTCTCTGGAGTTCTGTCTGGCACGGGGCAGGGGTGCCCTGGAAGCAGCAGCTGTAGAAGGAAGTGGCAAGGCCTTTTGTACAGCTTCCAGGCAACTGCTGGCCAAGGGCTAGTAACCACTGCTGTTTCCCTGTGGGGATGCAGAAGCACAAAGCTGGGGGCAGGAAGGATGAAAGGAAGAACCTGACCCTGCACTGGGCAGGCCACGATGCACCCAGTCTGGCAACACCACTTCATGCTGCCCGTCCTTCCCCTTGTCCACACTCCTGTCCCACCTGCAGTGTGCCAGCACAGCCACCTCTCATGTCTGCCTGCAACCTGGGTCCTGTTCTTGCTGCAAGGATAATTCAGCAAAGCAGCTGATGAACATCCAGGAGAACCAGCAAAGATGAAGGCACTTTCACAGGCTGGGCCGTGGACACAACAGGACAGCAGCTGCCACATCCTAATGGCTCTGGGCATGAACCACAGTAAATCCCGGCTGGTTACCAGTGAGGGAAGTTCCCCCTTTACGTGTAACTTGGTCAGTTTTGGCGTGGAGGGAAGTCACAACTTGATGCAATCCCTATCTCTGCCAACCCAAGCCTGCGGCAAAGGAGCAAGAGTCCTTTCTGCTGCTTGCAACAGCAATAAAACTACACTTGGAAATTTCATTGTAGAAACATGAGCTGGGAAAAGCCCAGGACGGGCTGGCTGGGCTGAAAGTCAAACTCAAACGTCATTACTAGTAATTAATGGATTTTGGCTTGGACTTATTGACACACAAGATAGAGGCCAAAGCTGTCACTGCTGGTGTGACCATACAGCTGCACCCACAATTATTTCTCTAGCACCTTTAAGTACTGCTCACAGACTTCAGGACGTCAGCTGGAGCACTGCCACTGCCTTTACGAATGTCACCTCAGAGGCACGCAGGGGCCGCCTCCTGCACAGCCTGTGGGCACCCACACCGGGTGCCAGTGGAAGGTCCCTTCCCACAGCCCCAGCCTCCCTCAGTGCATGCTCCCCTAAGGGCAGCACGGCAGCTCCTCGCAGCCCCGCTTCTAGAGGGAAAGGACGAGGCTGTAAGAGCCGGGTGTGCACATCATACCTCTGTCACGTGAGTTGAGCTGGGGAGGTTATTTTAAACACAGCTGCGGTGGCACGCTTAAAATAACAAGAGCTTGCAAATGGATGAGCTGCACGCTGACCTGATAATGTGCTGTCAGCTTCACGCAATCCGAAGTCACAAGTGGGGGTTGGCAGGCTGTGATTTGCTATTGTTTTCTGTGCCATTGCAAGGTGAAATTTCTGTTCCTTGTCATGACAAGGGGTAACATCTTCTTTGAAATAAGACCTGAGGTCACACCAAGTTCCTCCCTTGCAGCTCTGGGGCTTTTGATTAAAGCTTGAACAACCGAGTTAACAGCAATGCAAAATAAAAAGGGTTTAAAACCAATATCCATTTTAAAATAAGGGTTTGTAACCCCTCAGAAAAATGTAAAACGTCCAACAAGATCAACTGCAGTGTGGTAAAACCAACTGACCTGGAGTGCCTAAAGCCGCTCTTACACCTGGTACCCAGGTACAGACTCCTGAGCTTCAACAGCACGGAAACACTCCTCACCTACGTCAGCTCCTGGAAACAAGAGGCCTCGAGTGCAGTCACACACAAAGCAGCACCTGAGGCCACCCACAAGTTCAAGCTGAAGAGCAGAGGGTCCTGCTGGCCAGAAGCTCACGAGGACAAGAGAGCTGAGAGACAGCACAGCTACCACACAGCCTGGTGTGGTGCTTGGCCACACAGCCAAGCATTGCTGCTCCCTCCAGGCTGCAGGATTGTCCTGCAGAACCACATCTGGAGTACAACAGGGCATAGGATGATGACTGATTTCTCTCTTAATCAAGACACCAAGTTTTTACTTGGCTACTCAGGCCACAAAAAAAGACACCACTGAGAAACCACCCACCATGGGGATGTGTCAGCAAATTCCACCTGCATCATGGGATTATGTTTGTGCCTGGCATCTGCACTGGTGCAGGGCCAGTCATTTCAGTTCAACAAGCTGCGGTGCTTGACCCCCGCTCCACACTGAACAGAGAGGGCATGAGAAGTGCATAGCTGCCCAAAACAATGCTTTAACTAAGTGGAGGCTGCCCTGCAAGAAAGTGGAGCAGCTCCAGCGAAGGCTCCCATTCCCAGATGGGAGGGACAGAAGGAGGGAGAGAGAGAGGCAGACCTTGCAGGCAGCAGGGTGTTGAACTAAGCCACTGGAGATCTAAAGCACCTTCCTACTTCCTCAGTTGAGATTCCTAGTGGGAGAATTATGCAATGTGCCCTGGGGAGCACCTAGCCACCAGCCACAGGAGCTGACAGAAGGGAAGCACAGAGCCCTCTGGTTTTAGGCAGCCTGGGCACACCCTCAGCCTTTGGCAGGAAAATAAAGGTGGAAGGCTGGAGGCGAGTGGAACATCAACTGTCAACACATACTGAGGAGGCAAGAACTGCCCACTTAGTTCAAAACACATAAAACACACAGTCCATCCTCTTTTCTGAATAGTTTTTTCTGAAACATAATCTGGAACTGGAAGAAAAACCTCCCATGTCTGTCCTTTAGTACATGCTAAGGACCCTTCCATATCTTGGCTGGGGTGGAAAAGATTCTTCTGAAGGCACTGCAACCACCTCACACCATAGAGCAGCCTCCTGGAGTTCAAGAGTGGAGCAGAAACAGATTCAAGTTGGGAAGAAGCCGCCAAATACTCCCAGACTTGCTGCATGGGAAGAACTCGGGAAATGCCAAGGAATGGCACCCAGCCAAGTCCATATGGCAGCCAAAGCCCTCAACCTCTGTTGGTGACACGTCTCCATGCAGGCACCGTTATCTGGGAACAGTGGCATTTGGCTCAGTCAGTGTTCTCTTTGCAATGCAATACCTGCTATGCTGAAGAGGGCCCCAGGCACGACTGAAGAGATGGAGGGGATGAGTTGTCATCCACAAAGTTTGCCTAATACAAGCTTAAGGAATGCAGCAAGAGAGCAATACAAAGACAAATAAGCACCACTATCTGTCGG